CATTTTGTCAGAGCAAAGATGTCCTTGCCTGTACTGGCTACAGCAATCTTGTTAGTGAAGTAGGCCTTCTTTGCCCTTGTACTTGTGCCCTGAAACTCCTTTCACTCTCTGGCAACAGTGTCCTCTGTTATGCGTCTGCTTCGGACCTTCTTGTACCTTTGGCAAGCCTGTTTGTATGATATATCCCACCATGCATACTCTTTACTGTAGCCCAGTGAGCGGCGGGCTGTGCCTGTTTATGTCTTACAAATAGCTTCTATTAGCTCTATAGCACACCTTTCTAGCGTCTCCCTAGTGTAGGTTGGTAAAATTGGACTAAGTTCATCAATATTGATGGATAGCAGACAGAGGAAAAGCTCCTTATCCAACATGTCAAGTGTGAGCCTGCAGAGGAGTTCAGTATAGTCATCCCAATCAACTAAAGTGAGGATTATAGCATGGTCTGATGTTGTGTCTAGGTGTGGGTTTAGGGTGCACTTTGTTGTTTGGACTAGAGGGCTGGATCCGAGAAGTAAATTGAGTACAATGGCTCGGTCATGCATTGCCATGTGTGTAGGGGATAGAAGATAGAGACTATTTTTATCTGCCCATTCTGTGAAATTTTCAGCGGCAGGAGAGTGGCTGCAGGTCCATGATGGCTGCCATCTGGTGTGGTGTAGGTTTGAATCTCCAGAGATAAGCAGATTACCTTCGAAAGAAAGGGTGAGAGAGTAAAGGGAATCGAGAACGCTATTGCTGGTGGGTCCTGGAGGAGCCTTGTAGATGTTGACAATACTTAGGGACTTACCTGAGGACCAGACAATTCTAAGAAGTATATTGCTTGAGAATGCTGTATAACCCTTATCTGAACAGAGACAGGCATTTTTCTGCACATAGGACATCACCCTGGGTCGTGAAGATGTCCAGTTGTCAATAGGTGAGAAGATCTCAAAGGATGGGTGGCGTTTGGGGATACTCCTGGCATGGTTGCTGTAAATGTACGGATCTTGTATAATTACAATATCAGCAGAGGCTAGGCTGGTTTTGTTGAGAGCTAACTTGTACCATTGGGCTCTCCGGCCGACATTTGCAGATATTATTTTTAATGGGCAATTGTTTTGTTTGTGGCGCTGTAAAGGGGTCATTACAATTGCGCTTTGTCGGTTCTCTGATCCTCTGTGAGGAGAACTTCATAGGAGTTGATGGATTTTACTGAAACCGGCTGGGATTGGACTATTTCAGCAGGATTTGCGGCCGTAGTATGCATGATTTTGGGCTGGCTGTAGCCTTGATATAGCCAGCTTCTACTTGTTTCTGTAGGCGAGAGTCTGCATTGATCTGGCAGATAGCACTTACTTGATTCAAGGTTTTTGGAGGACTGAAGGGCTTAGACCGGAGGTCAAAGCTATCATTGTCTGTAGGATGGGGGCCATGATAATGGATGCATCTATTAGGGCATGTGTGTTGGCCCGTGGTGCTGCTGTCATTGGCATGATCTTTTTCGGAGTGTCTGGAGATCTGCAAAGGCTGCTTCTGAGGTCAAAACTACATGTGCTTGTATTGTGCCAGAGCTAGCACCAAGTACACTGGATAGCCATCTGATACTTGGGTAGAATTCTTGTCTGTGTGCGGCAGATAAAGAGGAAGAGGGTGCGTGGCAGGCGCTGATGTAATTCTGGGAAGCGCACAATCCAGGTTGTCAACGAGGACGTCGGATTAATATCATTGTTGCTTGAAGCTGGAGCAGCTACAGGGGCCACCCCAGCTGCCGTGGCTAGGGCATTCTTCAACGCCTCAGTTGTGATGGGCTTAAGGCAATACTTCAATTCTTTGTTTATGTGTTCCAGGGCTCCGTATTTCTGAGGAACATTTTTTATGCAGTAGGAAGTCCATGGTGTTGCTTTCTCTACAGGTGCGTCCCCGAAGAAACTAAAATAATATTTTCCATGAGATTTTCTGAATCTCTGTCTTTGGGGAAGAGAGCAAAACCAGTCTTCTTTGATTGCATATTTGTTAGAATCTGGCCCTAATTGACGAGCTTAGCTCTCAGGTGGGATTGTATTGCGTATGCTGAGTGAACCCGAAGTGTATTACCTTCCGGGATACAAACAAATAAACGGTCATCAGTGCGGGTGGGCTTTAGCTGAGGCCGCACTTTAGTGGGTCTTAAGAAGGTTGGAGTATGGCGACTGGCGAATAGCAAACTGCCTATCGGATTCCCGTAGAGCAGAATTTGTGTAGGTATGTGCAGTTTTTTTGGTAATTGGGGCTGGGCGGGGAGGCTTCAACAGTGACGGTCACAGGCTTATCGCAGAGTTAAGCATCTAAATGCCGTGCTGAGACTTTAGCTAGATCATTACAGAGGCTTTTGAATGCTTCAGCTTGCTTGGCGGGTAGTGTAGCATAGTTGGGTGCGATGCTATGCTTGTAGATTAGTGCCGAAATAACTCCAAAAAGGGTCTCTACTTCTTTTGCTCGGGCTGTCATAGAGTTTACGCTCTTGGTCAGAGTTTCTTGCATCAGGCCTGCGGGAGCTGGTTCTGAAAATGAGTCGTTGTCGTGGTCGACATATTCGATTTGATCGTCGTAATTTATTGGATCGATCTATATGTCATGCTGCTGATTGCTCCCGGGTGTGTACCAATTGCTAAGGACTGGATTATAGAATGGATTGGCTTCTACCACCTGAGATTTGTTATGACCCCCCATGATCGGGAGGACTGCTTTCACTCGCGCTGAGCACGAGACTCGGCTTGATTCTGATGTTGGTTTGGCTACAGTTGTCGGTTTTTGACGCGACTTGTGGAGGGTGGTAGGGGGGTTTGATGTTTTTGTAGTTATTTCCGATCGGAGCCAGAGCGAAAGGGTCTTTACAGTTCAATCTACAAATGAGAATCGAAAAAAATCTGGTGTGCAAAGGAGAGGATATATTACTGACATCGGTATCCTTGGCCTGTAGGCAGAGGGGACCTGCACGTGCTACATATTCATAGACCCAGACAGGACAATAAATTAAATTAATAAAAAATTGCGATTGGTGTCACGTACCTAGCACGTTAATCAACAAAGCAAAGCAGAGCTTAAGCCTGGCTCGTTAACATAACAATCACTTATAGAAGGGGCCAGAAATTCATTTACTTTTTTGTTTTTCCTGAGATGCTTAAGCCAAAATCAATCTAGCATATTGAGCTCCTCTCTGACCCAGATTAAACCTTTTACAATGCTTCTATACTCTTTTACTACGAAAAGTATCTATGATTTATTGCCTGCGATGGATAGCTTTTTAGCTCAGTATTTACCCGCAGAGTTCGGCCATCTTTTCTACGGAACCTCCTACCCATAAAAAAAGGTAGTAATAGAAACTGTGAGAGCAGGAAGACGTAACAAAAAACCTGCAGCCCCAGCTAGACGAGGCCTAGACACTGGAACCATATAAGGTGCGCATATCCACCTATATCCCCTTTTTTTGCATCATTATAGGCCGGCCTGATCAAATCCACCATCGCCGTATTGGGTGCTGGGTACGTTTCAGAAACTCATCGGATGTATTTTGCTCCTTGAATACGAGTGTGACGAGCAGGACTTCGAACCAACCATCTGATATGATCATAGTTAGTTTCTTTTTTTTTTTTTAATTCATTTTGTATTCAGCTATTTAGCTATGACAATTTATCTAACATTAACACTAAGTAATCAAACTCCCCTAAATAATCTTTCCCATCTTTGTTGTTCCATATATCTGCCCAATATTTTTTGTTCTATTTATATAGTTAGCTTCATGATAATGGTGAAAGTAGGATGTCGTTAGAGAAAAATATTTTATAGACCGCGAAAGCGATTGGGAGTTCTCATCGATGTGAGGACGCTGTTACTCGTTATTGACTCTACAGACTCTACAGTGAATGCTGGAGGTTCTCGGGGATTTTGCTAGTGAGTTTTGGGTTTTCGTCTCAAAAGGTCCATCCAGTCTCGAAAAGAGGCTTTGCATATTAATTAGCGTCGTATATGCCGTGACTACAATTGCGATAGTGAAGATAAAACTCTAAAGACGGTTGTGTTTGGATGCTGTGGTGGTTTCTCATCCAAGATGGGTTATCAAGGAGATTCTAGATAGCTTGGTCACTTGCTCTACTTAAGATAGGAGGTCGCTGGCTCGATTCCATTATTACATGACTACATTTCTCGTAATCGTGCATATAAGGATGAAAGCGTACTCGGATCATCAGATGGTTTGAAACTTTTCCTTGCCTTGCAGTCACGAACTAGAGTCCACGATGTGATCTCAACAAATATACTTCAGCGGTACTTGTGAACAATATTCTAAATCTTAATGTTTGAGGAAATCAGAGATCTCTGCCATGTACAAAGGACACTTACGATCTGTCGTGACTGGATTGCAGGGAATAATAAATTGAAAGAGATTTGAATCATGATCTTCAATTAGTGTTCCAGCGTCTAATTTGTATCATCTACCTTGTATTTACATTGTAGCCTTGAGTTTCCACATGTGGGTCAAATAGCGACTGAAACCGATGATTCAGGACTGTGGTACGCAAACCCACAAGAGCACCAGATTAGAATTGATACTCCGATCACGCTCAATAATTGTCAGCCTTCAAGATCTAATTTAGATTAGTCTACTTTTAGACATCATCTCTATGGTACGACGTTAGGCATCGACCGGGGAAAATATGGGGTGATGGGTGGATCACTGTACAAGTCACTGAATAATTAGTGATTCATTAAATCAAATATTTCATATCTCGAGTGCAAATTACCGCTCGGACCTGAGATTTGACCATCTATCATAGTTCCCAGCTGTTAGATGTTTCATCCCAGTGCTGCCACCTAGAGATGTATATCGAATTGCCCATTCATCCTGCGCCGACCTTAGCCAATAGAGCACCCCTAATAGCAATTTACAATAAAGTAGTCCGTATATCTTCAAAGGTATAGTTTGAAGAAATACTCGTAGAAACACACCCAACTTCTTTTACCCACGAGAAGTATAATTTATTTATCTAGACACTACCAAATGAATTTTTCGCCGCCTCAAGGTAACTTTTTGGGTCGTATTCGGGCGCGTATGTCGGAGCAAGGCCACCAAGTATAAAGAAAAAGACAACTATAGACAAGGTAAAGGTGAGAAGTTTGCGGAGAATAGGCTTGGTTGCGCCGAATTCAGCCCATCTTCTTCCAAGTTCGGAGAGAAATGGCTTGAGCTCCTTCTGTCCGAGCTTGTAGTATATCATTCCGCCGAGTGCAATGGTGTAGCCGAAGGCTTGGAGTCCCGATATTTGGGTGCCCCAAATGATCATTGAAGCTGCCACGAGTAAGATATCTTTGAGAACACCGCATAGGGTGAGAACAAGGCCCGATGTTTTCCCAATCTATGAAGATGAAAGTTTAGTCATAGTAAATAAAACTTGGGCAGGGTGCTTACCAAAAATACGACAGAAACGTTTAACAAGAAAGCACAGCAGGCGTTAGCAAAGAATGTACTGATCCCGACGGCGTATATTTCTGCCATTGAAATTTTTGGAACCTCCCAGAATAGCGCCACAGTTAGGTTCATGACTGCGCAGACTGGCGCGAAGTAATAGAGCGATACCAATGGATCCATCTTAAACTCGGCACCATTTAGCAACCTTTGAACCATACAAATTCTTACTGCTTCAAATATAATTCCTCCTACTTGGTATAAGAAGCCGATCATTACAAAGTCAATTTCTCCGAAAGATGCTAGTGCAACTCCAATAACGATAAATGAAACATTTCCCAACTTTTTGAGATCCACTGGGTCGATACCGAGCACCCATCCTGCTACTAGAACCGCAACCGGAGTAAACGCCTGTAGGCGTTAGTGAATCTGTTTTCTGGTTTTTATGAATTCTTACTTTGAGCATTTGGATAAATGAGACACTCAAGTAGAGATATGTCAAATTCCCACATATTAGTGACAAACTGAAAAAGAGTCCAATTGGCACGATTGCTCTTAGGTATACTTTTCCTGTCATCTTAAGAGTCTTTCTACCATCCAGGAACTTCGTGGTTCGGGCTAATATTTGAGTCATGATAGTTGCAAATACTAGATGCCATGCCGTGAGAAGAATTGGGTAATCTAATTACAGTCAATTTCTCTGATGTTTGTATTTAGGCAAGCCTTACGAAACTGAAGGGTTGATAGGATCCATTTGTTAAATAGAATAACGCTAGATGAAAGAGATATCCAAACGCTTTTCAGGGCATTAGCTGGCAGTAATGATTGCTGATGGTTTTGAGAGGGGTACCAACGTGACGTATACGGCAGGATGAATCCCATTTGACTTTAGGTCTTGTTGTGACTGCAATTTTTCTACATTTGGATTAACAGTCGGGAGACCTGGCGAAGGACGCGAGCCAACGCCAGAAAGACGTTCCTTCTCTTCACCCATGACGACTTAGATCTCTATTGTAGTAAATGTAGCAAGAACCTATCGATATTCCTCCGCAATCGCAGCAAGATTGCGCAAACAATTTAGGAGGGGAGGGCGTTAAAATTTGCAGGTTGTTGATACCATGAGATAGGTCTTTCCGTTGGCGGAACTGGTTAGATGAAATGTGCCTATAACAGACCGAACAGACATGGTAATGACGGGTGGACATTTAGCGTACGACTGGGAGTGACGCTAGTCCCTTTTCTACCCCTTATGCTTTCTCATTCATCCACGGTCACATGCATCCATCGGAAGGGGGCGTTTATACATTGGGATAACCCTACCAGCGATGTATGCTCGCATAATACAACCCGAAACTTGTTTGTACTGCGGCTAGCAAACTACCGTCATCTAGTAATCCTCATTTGAATCTGCAAGTTCCTATGCCACTAGACATCCATGACTAAACGAATTCATATATTTTCTCAGGCTGAATCTATCGCATAAGGCGTTAACTACGGATCATTCAAATGTTTTCTGCAAAAAAAAGGTAGTTTATGCTCCAGGGAAATTGGGTCGTGATCCCTGGCCAGCTGTGATGAGAATGTACCGCAAAGAATACTTGCTACTAAAAACTACTAGCTGATCTGATTTGATTTTGCTACGCAGCAGCAACACCATTTTCAAAGAACCTAGTCTCCACAACAAAGCCAGACAATTCTTCCTTTACTGTTCACACTATAAAATGACCTTTCGAAATTTAGCAGACAAGGAAGCATATTTCTTCGTATCTGAGAAGTCAAGGTCTAATCTCAGCAGAATACGTTGGTAGCCGTTAACGAGAGCGGGTAAATTGTATTCAAATATTTCATGTATTTTCAAATAAGGTAACCTTGATACGGGAGGAAGCGAAAATGAAAGTTTTATTAATTGCCGGATCAATGAAGTGCTGAAACCCGTTTTGTTTCGGGCTTTATCCCGGTAGTACCGGAGCTCCTTACAGAAGACCACGCTGTCGGCAGTATATAAGATATGCAGGATATACAACTCGGATTCCTGCAACTTGCCGCGCTCCGAATGAAGGAATTCCTACCGATCAACAGCTGTTATCTGGAAATCATCAGAAGCACGCATCTCTGCCTCTCCTCAAAGCTGCAATAAGTTTGAGCACTCATGATATGTTAGCAGATCAGAGGTCTCGAAATAATTATTGGTAGAGGTCTCTTCCGCTACAACCAACCTATGGGGCTTAGTAAGTGCGATAGGTTTGACTAGAATCTTTTTTCCAGACATTACTAATTCATATAACACATATCTGTTCATTTACGTCAGAGTTTTTGTAAGAGGTGGAGGCCCTAACTCTTTGCCCAGGATCTCTGTATCCCGACAGTTACTATTAATATCCGCTGGAGTGAGCCACTAGATGGTCAATTACCCACCATTGTCTCGCTTGTTCCATGATTTGAAGTATGACTGTTCATCCGCGTATAATAACTCTGTACAGTGTACTTAGGCACCTTGTAGGTGATGAACACCATCTACGGAACCATCTAATCCGGCAAGGCTCACCTGTGCACACTCAGCATCTCCCTCGTTCTCTGACAGCTGCTCCTTGTCTTGATTCTTGACCCTGACATCGAGGCAGATCATAGTTAACCAATTGAAGCCAATAAACCTTTCTACTGGACGTGAACCGTAAATATGTGTGCACCAGTAATAATTTTTGTTGAGAAATGAAGATAATTGGGTAACTCATGAATACAGATTGATTGCTTGTGGTTGATAACAAGGAACCAGTGGAGGCACGAAGGCTCATTAACTGACCGGATACACTACAGATATCCCGCAGTCGCCACAGAGTCTACATAACTGAAATATTCAATGATCCTGCGATATCCTACAAACCCCCTTTACAATGGAGAAATGCTAGGATTAAAAACCTCACAGCATTTATACTCTATAAAGACTCTTTCAGCATTTCAGAGCAATCCCAAATTAGTCCCGAGGCGTCAACGACGGAAGGATTTGAAGGGAAGCTAGAAAGGTTTAGAATAGTTATCTCAGATACACAAAAGTCTACAGCGCCTATCCAAGCGCCTTCTCCATCACCGTAAGAGAGTTGCTTCGTTTTCGTATTTTGTCCTGATATTGATGAAAGTGGAACCTTGCAGCCAGCGGATTCGTAGAAATTTACCAGCTGTCACATATTCGCAAATGGCCTTTATTTTAATTGGTTGGAGCAAAAAGACAAAAGGGCGAAGTCCTTTACCTGGTGTTTTATCGAATGAAGACTTATGAGGGCTGGTGCAGTTTGAATAGAGCCCTGAAGTAGGCGTTAGTATGCTTGGCTTTTTAGCAGAGGGCCTACATGTTCCATGTAGTTTTAGAAAGAGAAAGAACATTAATATAAAAGTAAGAATACTAAAAGTAATAGAAAACATCACTTTTACGGGAAAGCTACGCAGGACTCCACGCTGACTTCAGACCAACTTGAATTCATGTTTAGCATATTTATCATATAATCACGACATCCTTGTCAGAATATTTTCCTCACTACAACATCATGGATGTAGGAGCTGACGTGATCAACTTCAGCGATCCTCACGCATGGCGAGATGAAATTTTTGTGTAATTAATCCAAGGCAATGGATTTCATACAATATATATCGATCGACACATTTTAATATCGCTAAAATTAATGAAGAAGATTAAGATTCTTGACTCATACTCAGACGATTATGGAATCACCGACAGCACAGAGGTAATTGCGGAGTTCGTAAGAGCCATCAACATAACCAGCAGGAAGCGGGGGAACTTTTTTTTGCATCAGATTTTGATTGAGTATGCAGCTTTCTAGCCATGACACAATATCAGAGAAAAGCTTAAAAAATGTGCCTCAATATAAAAGATGAGCACTCACGTCGGAAAGACTGACAGATGTCAAATTTTCCATAGAAGAAAGGATTTTGGTTGTTGAAGAAGCATTCATGAAGAGTTTGTGAACCTCGCTCAGATGGAGGCTCCTAAGCAGCCCCAGGGCTGCTGGCCTCTAGAATGTACGTGTCGGTATTATTTTAATCTTGTAATGTGTATTCAGCAATCTAGTAATGACATTTGATCAGTGCCATGTGTACATGTTGGGTGACTCTTATGACCTGAGAGGCATTTATACTCTGTTTTTCATTTGCAAATACCACTAGGAGGTGTATTAATAGTTAGATTATGTAGTATTTTGATACGAGGTGGCTGTAAGTAACGACTCCCTACGGCAGTTTTCAGACCCTCCAATTTCACTATTAGCTACATTAGGTGATGTTAGATTGATGCCTAATAGCTTAGATAAATGTAGTTGAGATTCGCTGGATCCTAATCAGTGATGTGTATCAAGTGGGATAAGGAACTAGGCTTTGCAGAATCTTTTCGGCACACTGGCCCAGAAGGTATACCACAGCACCGTCCAGCCAAAGCCGCGGTCGCAGAGTCGCATGTACTCCGTGAGCGTCGCTAGTTCCACCACCATTGCCCAAAACAGGAGCACGAAGTCTTGATACCTATCGGTGGTGTCCTCTACGAACCTGGGAGTGAAAGATTCTCCCAGAGCCGAGATTCAGTCACGAAAAAGGGTGGAATGAATTTTATTCGATGGATTTTCGGCTTGAAGGAGTTGCACTCGATATTTTGGTCAAAAAATCACTCGGCAGAGATTTCACAACCGCAAGAGAGTCGAACCAAAACCCATCACCACCAACGTACGATTCACGAATGGATTTAGGTCTGTCTGGGGGTCATATTCAAACATCAGATATCTCTGAAACTCCTTGTATATTTGCGACAAAGCATTTCTCAGTCGATCCTATACCTGCGACCCACTTCCATTTTTGTCCGATCACATGCCTACACACGCTCTAATGAGGAAAGTCATGATGGAAACGGGACGTGTACAAAGGAGGAAGAAGAGGGAAGATACACTGCGGGGATTGCACAAACCCCCAATGACGACAACAGCCCAATGGTACGATATGAAGGTGTAAGGCTAGAGCAACGATGAGATCTTGGAAGGCATTTATATTTTGGAGTCAATGAGGATGTCAAGGGCTGGAGCGCGTGGTGGCCGAGGCTGAGGAGAAATTTGCGCTATGGCGTATATGCAGTGAGCTTCTTGACGGTCAGGCTCAGTATGATTCAACACATGAGTGAAGTCTGAGATGGTTTGGCCATTTAGGTGGGTCGAGGTATACCTGTAATTCACGGTAGTTGACCTGATCCGGCCCGACCCCACCCGTGCTTAAGCTCCAGTAGGAGTGCAACAGTAGCCACTTAACATAGCACGTTAATGAACAAACAAACGATAGCCAAGTTAGTAGTGAGAATACGCGCGAGAGAAGCCAAAGAGATGTAGCCAGTAGATCTGCTCACAAAGGAGCAATGATATTTTCTATGAGCAGACTCAATACGCCAGATATAGATTAACAATACCGAGGTGTATGTTCTATTGGCGAGCAAAAGAAACGCGTATCTAAATTTTATGTTAATGGATAACTTTTATTCTTGGCGGCGAGATTTTTCTGTGGAGGCTTGCGGAGTGTGTGTGTGTGTGTTTTATTGTACTACTTGAGTCTATGACTATCTAGCACATTGGGCTCCTCTCTGACCCAGGCCACACCTTGTACAGTGCTCCTATCCTCTTTTGTTACTTGAAAGATCATTGATGTATTCCCCTTGATGAATAGCCATTCAGCTCAGTATTTACCCGTGGAATTCAGCCACCTTTTCCACGGAACCTTCTACCCAAAAAAAATAAAAATGGTAGCAATGGAAACTGCGTGCGCGGGAAAAAGTCTCAAAAAACCTGCAGCCCCAGCCAGGCGAGGCCTAGACACCGGGACCACATGAGGTGCGCATATTCATCTATATCTCCCTTCTTTGTAACAGTCGAGGCCGACTTGATCCAATCCACCATCTCCGTATCGGGTGCTGGGTACGCTCCGGAAACTCATCGGATGGCTTTTCCTCCGTGA